TATGACATAGTGACGCCGGCTAGTCCAACGACAAAGGACGAAAAAACGTCTAGGAATGCCGCCCCAGCATATTTCGGCGGTGTCACCTACACAGTTTCGTTTTATCTACTTCAAAAGGTGCTCCGTCGATGTGAAACCGCTTTAAATGTAATCGACCTAAATGTGTCAAAATTACCGGAATAAATTCATATTAAATCATCATAATTTCTCAATTTTTATTCAATATATTTTTTTTTATTCATTTTTCCCCATTTCTTTTGTTTTTGTCTCACTTCATTGTTTGTTTTGTACTTTGTATTAATTAATTTTATGTAAAAAGTTTTATCATTTCAATATTGTATTGAAAGGAGTCATTACGATACCAAGGATAATTGCCACAAGGGGTTTCCAACCCACAACCTTCAGATTACTTTAATAAATTAATTAAAATTATCATAAAAATATGCATTTTTAATTTTTTTTTTAAATTTCTAGTTATTCATTCAATAGAATAAAAGAAATAATGAAAAGTCAAGAAATACAGTAAGTTAAGTAATACAAATAATAATAATAATGATAATAATAATAACCTCTCTATATTGTAAAAATCCAAATCGACTTTTGGTGATGAAAATTTGGTGTTCGAAATAAAGACCCCAAAATTAAAGGTCAACATAAGGGTCACAAGGGTCAGAATAAATCCTTATGGGGGTCATATTACAGGCGGCGTAGCCCCCTAGTAATAATAATAATAATAATAATAATAACATTAATATCAATAAATAAATTTGGAAAAATTCGACGAATTAAAAATAAAATGATGAGAAAAAATTTTTAAATGAAAAAAAATGTTCAAATACTTGAAAATTTTCAATTTGTACACCTGCATTTTCCACCCTCGTCCCTTTCCACTTCACCCCGTTCAAAAAAAAAAAATCAAGGGTTGATGGATGCAACTGGCAAGCACGTGCAACGATTCGTCTATTTATCACTCACCCATTCACTCCCTCATTCAAGCGCATCACGTACGAAACATCAGTCGGAATCACATTAATATTATTCATCCAGCGTGGAGCCTAATGAGTCGAGTGTGCAGCGGAGAAGTGGAGCTGTCGATACCTCAAAGGCGCCTGGGCCACGTTGAAGTGAAATAAGACGGATTATATCAGCGAAGAGACGACACGAACTAGAGCGCGGGAGAATGAAATATGAAAAAAATTGTACGATATAAGAATGAAGAAATAGACGAGGATGGAGGGAGTGGAGTGGTTTCCGTTCAACGCTGGAGTGGCTCCAGCGCAGCCTCCTCCAGGGGTAAAGCAGCCGTGGAATGTCTTCATTAAAATACCCGGGCTCATCATTTATGCAGAGCAAAAACACGGAGAGGTGAGGGGATTCTCTCTCTTGTCTTCGAGCTTCATGCACTTTTCGCTTTTTCCGATGGGTGTATGATAATTTCAGTTTTTTCGAGACTTTTCGAGAGGATTATTTCGGGTTTATGTGTTTTTCTTGCATTGATTTATGCGGTAATGATTGAATTTTCGGGAATTCAATAAATTAGTCACTTAATGGGGGAGTTTATGGAATAAAATGTTTTTTGAATCCAAATTTTGGGGTTTTGTTTTTTGGGGGAATAATTTGAGGGCTTTGAGGTAATAATGTCTGATCTTCATATTCTTATTTTATTTATTAGGGTAGGAATAATGAAATTTTTTTCAATGAGATAGATTATTGACTAAATTAGACAGTTGTCTGTTCTTTATAATCCTATTATATTAATTTATGTAGAACTAATTGCAGTCCTTTGCATACATTCTAGACTGAATTCAATAGTTTTAGAAATAAAATGTTTCCTGGAAACATTTAATTTTTGGAGTGTCAATGTGTGGGAATAATTCAAGTATTCTCAGTGAATGCTATTTGTTGTTTACTTTTTTATTTCATCAATTTATGCAGAAATAATAAAATTTCCTCAGATAAATTTCATCGTGAATTAAATTGAACAGATTTCTGAATGGAAGTTTTTAAAAAAAAATCTAATTCGTGTAATTTCAGTGTTTTGGGAATAATTCACGTATTATTAGTGAATAATCTCTATTCTTCATTTTTTCATTTCATCAATTTATTCAGAAGCGATAAAACACTCGAATGAAATAAATTCTAGAAAATTTTCTAAGCAAACCATGCAAAAACATCAAAAATCGCAAAATCGTTGGCATCATCAACCCCCGAATTTATGAGACTCATTCAATCAAGCGAAAGACGTCTCTCAGTACCTCCAAAACAAACATCATTATCAATAGGTTAGCAAACAAGTGCTCGAAAGAGTCATCACGGCTTATCTCCCCAACGGATAACTTTCAAAAATTCTGAATCGTCATGCCAAACTTTTTTTTTTCATCTTCAACTTTTTCCCTGTCGATGCTCACCTACGTCTTCATGACGAGACCCCACGCGAGGCTAGTCGTCCTCTCCCACGAGTCCGATTTATGACTCGAAAAATTCTAGAATAATTCGATAGTCAGATCCCTGCCTCCATCACTGTCCGTTCTTCCTTCTGTTATTGTTGTGTGAAAATTACAAAGACTCATTGGAGATTTATTCATCATTCTTTTTCATTCCTCAAAATAGTTTTTAACACTTCATCTCGTTATTTTTTAACTATTAAAATAACTAATGATAATATTCATTTCGTTGTTGAGTCTTAGAATTGAATTGAATAATTAATAAATTAAGACTTTATTATTTAGAAATGAAATAATTATTTAGTAAATAGATTTATCAACATCTCATAATTCTTCATTTTGAGCAAATGAATTATTCATTTTATATAATTGATAAATTTTTATTCAAATAAACACAAAAAAAATTAAATAAAAATTTTTCTCATTCAAAATTCTCATTTGTTTCTTTTGTAAAAACACAGCAAAAAAAATATGAAAATTGTTTATATATTTTTCAATATATTGAAATTTTTATTACACCCATGTATGTAAAAATCTGGAAATAATATTGCATTGAATAAATAATAAATTGAAACTTTATTATTTAGCCATTAAATATAATTATTTAGTGAATGCATCAACACGTCATAATTTTTTACTCTGATCAACTAAATTATTTATTTGATATAATTGAAACAATTTCATTGAAATAAACCAAAATAAATTGAAATAAAAATTTTTTCATTCAAAAACCTCATTTCCGTCTCTTGTTTTCGTAATTGGACGATAAAATAATGAAAAAACGTGGAAATTTTTCATATATTTTCCAATACATTAATTTCCCCATGGAGACGTGCGACTCTCCGATCCGAAGATGAGACACAGTTGATATCGAAACGATTCCCGGTCGAGATGTGGACCTACGGTGGCCCCAGCGCGACGGGGCGCACAGGCGTGCAGACGCCCGTTTGATCACTCTCGATGTCCGAGAAGACGCACGAAACGATCTGGGGAATTAGGCAGCATGATCTGGGCATTCCTCGTCTCCCGGAATGAGCAATGCCGCTACAACTCCATTTTTCCTCCAACAGGGGTGACAACGATAAGAACAATTGCGTGAATAATTTCACACTCATCAGGACTCGTTTGTGTTCCAATCAATAAAGGGACTGATCTCTGTTTGGAGTCGATTCATCATATTCAGACGATTGAATGATTGATTCGGGGATATTTGAATTTATTTACTCTTGTGTGGGGAGAAAAACTTGTATTCAATATTATAAAAGATGATTTTATGTTTAATTTTGATTTAAGTAAATGCGCTGCTGAAAAAAAATGAAATTTCATGCCGTTGGAGTAAAGAAAATTCTCATAATTTTTTTTATCATTTTTTTAATCTCATTTAATCAATTTATTCGTAGTTTAGACCAACGCATTCTTGTACAATGGAGAATCGAGACAATTAGCGTTCTCATAAGTAGCAATTAATATTAATATTGCAATTCACATAATTCCATTTGAGAGTTTATATAGCAATCAATTCAGCGAGTGAAGATCACTACATTTTTTTCTTATATTAGTTCATAACGTCTTTACCTTGCCTTTTCCAAATTTTATTCAAGAAGAAAAAGCGAACGAGAATATTTTATTTACGATTTGCGTTGAGCATTTCTCGTATGGCGTTGATTATTAAATGGGACTATCCCAATTTCCCCGTTAAGATTTTCCATTCTTCACTGAATGTCAAACAGACTGCTAATGTCTTTTTTTAATCAATGATGAGAAAAAATGGACCCACACTGAGAGAAAAAATTACTTCTGCCGAGAAAATATAAGTTCTTTAAATTAAATTAAATATAATTTTTATAAAAAATATGGGTTCGACAGAATGATTGATTCAGAAATATTGAAATTTATTTGTTCTTGTGTGACGAAAGAACACATATTCAATATTAGAATAGATGATTTTCCATTTAATTTTAATTCAATCAGATGTATTGTTGGGAAAAAATGAAATTTCGTGCCCTTGGAGTAAAGAAAATTTTCATCATTCTTTTTTTAATGAAATAGTTGGAAAAAATAAACCCGCACTGAGAGAAAAAACGAGGCTGACGAAAAATTATGTGTTCCCCTGAAGAGATCTTCTGTCGCGTTGAATCAATTCACTGGTGGACAAAGAAAGTTTCCACCGAAACAAGATGATTTTCGTGGTAGTAATTGTTCTCGTGAAACATTTATGTCTTTCGGGTAAATTACACACTTATAATTTCCACGGAACAAATGATAATTTCAAGAGGAAACTACAATTTTCTTGCCGAAAACTGTTATTGGCAAAACCAAATAATTTCGAGGAGACAATTTTTTTTGGGAAAAAAATATTCTTTCCTCGCTAACGTATTCGTTCTACGGTATAAACCTATGAAGTTCTCTCAGATCAAGTGGTCATCATACAGTAGATTATATTCTTTCCCGCCAACACTTGGAATTCTTCTAGGGATATTTCTGACGATCTCAAAAAGAATTCAATTTTTGTGAAAGATGAATTGTAATTGATGAATTACTTAAGAAAAATCAATGTTTTCAAGTTCACACAATTCGTTTAATTGATTAACAATTATAAAATTACAATCGATAATTTAATCCTATAAATAACCTAGCAAACTAATCGTACGGAGGTAATGTATTTCGGCATCAATGAGTCCATCATCTTTCAATAAATGTTTAACAAAGAGTTGGAGGAGAATTTAGTGAGAGGTAGCTGTAGATTTAAGTCTCATTGGACTCCTATGAGCGACATACAGGTATGGCATGGTGTTTATATGCCACTGGCGTCCAGCTGTTCGAATATGCATACAATGAGACGCAAGCCATCCGTCCGCGTCGCTAAAACCACGACAGGGCTTTTCGGTATATGGTACTCCGTCCTCCTTCCACTTCTCCCTCTCTTCCTCTTGTTGGCATTCCTTGCGTCTCACCGTGAAGACCCCGGTTGACGGCTTCCTGCGCGTTATGTACACTATTTGAGATGGATTGGACGGCAATGATAAGCGCTTAGCGATAAATTTACCATTGTGACTGACACCCAAAACGCCGGGTTTTTACGGTGAATTTACATAATGAATTATAACGTTTTTCGAACTTCTGTACGGGGAGACGTTGAGGTAAATATTACGAGGGGAATGTTAGAGCGAAATGTTTACTTCGGGATAAAATTTCGTGACAGAAAAGTTGAGGAAATCTCACCGTTTCAGGATTTGAAAATATTTCAGGGAAATTTCACGAGTCGGCAAGTTGAAGAAATGAATTCTGCGGAGAAAGAATTATCTTCAGATAAACAGCAAAATTTTTTTTTCGGACGTTTTGAATTTTTTTTTTAATTACAAGAGCGGCGTAAGAGGCAAAAATTTTCGGAAAATCACGGGAAGTTTCACTGTTTCAGTCGAAAGTAGCATTTTTCCGATTTGTTATACTCGTGGGGTTGGAACCAACTTCTCACGAGGAAAAACCCCATAACTTTTCACTTTTAAGAGTTTGGGGAAGGGCTAACACCAATCTCCGGATGAGGAAAAGTGAAGAGCAGTACGGAAAAATTTATTCTGTGGGAGAAAGAATTATCTCGAGACATAAGCAAAATTTCCCACACGAGTTTTAAAATTTTTTCTTAATTCCCGAACAATGATACTTTAATTTTTAATCAGAATTATTATTTTTGAATGGTAAAGAATAAGTACTAGCTCGTGATGTCTCTGGTCGGAATTTTTGAGGCGCAGCAACAAAAATCGCGATTTGATCTTTGTTTTTTTGAACAATTATGTGAATTGAAAAATTGCCAGCACTTAGATTGAAATTATATATCAATTATAGAAGTGAAAGGAAAAATTTACCTCAGAATCACGTTTTGTCACGTAATTTTTATCAGTAAAATTGACCGCAAGAGCGGGCAAAAAATTTGAAGCAAGAAAATCGTTTTTTCTTCACAATTTTAAAGATAAATATAATTATGTAATTCCTTTCTCGGAAAAATCTTCCTTTTTTAAATTTTTTTAAGCGCACTAAAAAAGGTACTACATGCTACTGAATGAAGCAAAAACAAAAATTGAAAAAAAAAATTTCTTTTAATATAAAATCATCGAAATAACCACATTTTATAATGATTAAACCCGAGAGTCACTGAGTGACCATGGTTTAGTGTAAAAACTAGACATATGATGTTAATTTTTTTATATACCTGTTTTTTTTTATGTAAATAACTGTAAATAATGTAAATATCCTGTTGCAGTTGTGAATAAAAACATTGTTAATAGGAAAAAAAATTACTCAACCGAATCGAAAAATTTTAAGCAAACTTTTTCCTATTTTCCTTCACTTTTCATGAAATATTTTGGGATTGATCGGAAATTTTGATAATTCTTTAAAAAGAATCCCTCCCCGTACACTGATCTACTTATTTTCTATTCCTTTTTTTCATCGCTTGATTCGTGTGCTCAGGTCTACGAAGTGATTTCAACTTTTTGAGAATTTGTCCGTGCTTTCCTCGTACCTCCAGTCTCTGTTGCGGTAGTTCTTTAGAGATTATCGGGGTCCCAATTCGCGCAGTGCGGGAAGCCCGGCGGACAGGGCAACGATGTGACGCTGTCTGGGATAGCCATTACCGCGATGAGCGATATCAATGTGATGAGGATGATTTTCAGGAGTTCCTGGAAAAGTAGGCGGATGACAAATTTGTGAGATTAAAGGGGGTTAAAAAAATTCAAGTGGTTTCAGGGGATAATGTGGGAAGATCTTTTTTTATAGCTGACGAAACTTGGGAAATGTTTTTTGACATTTTTGGCTACAATTACTTATTATCGAGAAAATTCAATATGTCGAAGTATAAAGAATCAAAACAATATTTTTATCAACTTTGAAGAATTTTTTGGCGATTCTTTTTCAGTTGAGAAAATTAATGCTGATATTTTCTTGATTTTTTATGTTTGATGAGATGTTAAAAAAACAAAATTCTATTTTTTGCACAATTTTTGTATTTTTGTAAATTTATTTAAAGGAAGCTAGTAGTTTTCGTGAAAAAATTTTCAAGAATATTTTTTACAGCTGCGAAAATTGTTTATGAAAGTCTCTTCCGACATTTTTTTGGCGAAAAAAAATATTCAGGTGAATTTCAGAGTCTTTTCTAGAGTTGACGATATTCGCTTTGATAAATTTTTTTTGACATTTCCTGTTAAAATCATCCATCATTGAGAGAATTCAACATTTCGAAATATAAAAAATCAAATTTATATTTTCATCAAATTTATCATTTTTGATGATTCTTTTTTCATCTCTGGACCACGCAAATTTACGAAATGTTTAGAGGATTTGTTTTCAAAGGAGAAAATTCCCAGCAAAAAATGAATTCTGATTTTCTTTTGATATTGGATGTTAAAAAAAAATTATATTTTTTTGTACATTCTACTGATTTTTTATTTATCTAAAGGAAGTTAGTGGTTTCACGAATAATTACTCAAGAATGTTTTTTAGAGCTGAGGCAATTATGTATGAAAGTCTCTTTCGATATTTTTTTTGGTAAAAAAAATTTAAGTGAATTCAAAATGCTTTTCCAGACTTCCCAAAATTCCCTTCAGTCAATGTTTTCTGACATTTTTTGTTAAAATCAGAGAGAGAATTCATTTGAGAGAATTCAACATTTCGAAATACAAAAAATCAAAATTTTATTTTCATCAAATTCATAATTTTTTATGATTCTTTTTTCATCTTTGGACCACGCAAATTTACAAAATATTTGAAGAATTTGTTTTCAACTGAGAATCATCATCATCATCATTCCCACCAAAAAAGAATTCTAATATTCTTTTGATATTGGATGTTAAAAAACAAAAGGTATCTAAAAAAGCTTGTGATTTGAAGAAAAATTTGTCAAAGAAGCAGAATAATATTTTATACATTTGAGAACTTCTCCTGCAAAAAATTAATTCAGATATTCTTTCAATGCTGGATGTTTCCCAAGATGTTAAAAATCGAAATTGTATTTTTCGTTAATTCCAGTGATTCTTCATTAATCTAAAAAATCTACTGATGTTCAGACAAATTACCCAAGAATATATTTGCTGAGAAAATTATTTATGAAGCTCTTGTGACATTGATTTCTCAAACCCCTCATCATCGAGACAATTCAATAAAACTCAACAATATACCAAAATGTTTCCCTTTCTCCCACTTCACTACTAAATTATCAAGCAGAATTATTTTAAAAATAAAAAAAAATCTGTAACACTCACTTGGAACATTTTGAAATGTATAAAATTCAATAAATTCTCTCGGTCTCGATGAAACTAACAACCCAGCACGTTTCAACGCTCGTCGAACTGACACCACTTGCGAAAAGGAAGGCTGTCGATCAGTCCAAAGTGGAGATCACTGAATGAGCCGTTGGCGGTTGTGCAGGTGACTTAAACCCATCATCCCACCCCACCACCAAATCACTATGAATGCAAAGTTTAATGACGCAATGAATGTGCGAATATTCGTTACGCTAGTGGTGATGTTTGCCTCGACACGTGTGAAACTCAAACACTCCCACATTGCGAGTAATTTCGTTGATATAGATGATTCGCTAGCCAAATCCCTAGATCTCGTAATTCTTACTCAAATATGTGGCTTTTCTAATAGTACTATAGGTCGAACACGTGCGCCGCTCGGTCATCTGATTCACTGAGAAGCTTTTTTTATTCAAATTTCAAAACTACACTGTTAGAAATTTTTTGAAATTGCAGTCACAGGTTCATCTTAATTCTCAATGATTTTTTTTTACTTTGGCATTCTAACCTGTTGGTTTATTCTGCTTAAAAATAATTTACAGTATATTCTGTTGGAAAAAAAAATTTTACATCGTAATCAGGTTAATACAGTACCATATCAGTAGCGAAGTGGTAAAACGGGACAAGTCAATTTTGACTATTGGCCAGTTTTCAATGAATATCTGGGGATCTAAGGGAGATAGCAAAATTTTTGTTATAACGTTTTTTGTAGAGCCAATTAAGAGCTACAATGAATGTAATTACGAAAATTTCGTCATCTCCCTTAGATTCGGAAATATTCCTCAAAAACTTGACTGGGAGATGAGTCGATTTGAACCGTTTTACCACTTCACTACTAATATAAATAATAATAATTGAGTTTTTTAAAGAATAAAATTAATCTCGTAGGATGGGAGGAAGCCTTCTCTTTATAAACCAGACAGGAGTTTCGGACGGTGTATCTCATGTGTGGGACATTGATAGATCATTCTCAATGTTGAGTTTGAATTCAATTTCGAATGAAAATTTTCAGAAAATTTCTTGAAATTTCAAGAAAATTTGGTTTTTCATGTTAAGCGATCATTGATATTTCAATGAACGTTTGAATTGTCAATCTACAATGCAAAAATTAAACATCAAATGCCATTGAATTTTCAATAGATTGAGAATTCAGAAATGTTTTTGCGTGAATTTTCCCAATTTTCAACATATTTTAGTGCCGCGTGGGTCTAGAAATCGAGAATTACTTGAATATTCGAGAAATTAATCGATTCATAAATTTCATGTAACTTGTCGTTGTTAAAAATTTCAAGCTTTTTCATTTGAAATGTCAAGAGTAATTTTCTGACAGTTAAAAAATTTTAAATGCATTATAAAAATGGATAATACGTAGAATAAAAAACTCACAAAATGATAAAGATAAATTGTAAGTGAATTCCCTATAAAACTGGAGAAATTTTATAATTTTTTTTGCAAATGAACGACAACAGACATTTTCCTAAGAATTTCTAAAAGACCGGGGAATTTTCGCGATTTTTTGGATTGAAAATCTATATTCAAGAAATGTTTCTCTCAAGTAAATGAATATTTGGCAAAAATATATTGTTTTCTCAGTGTATTATTATTCCAAATTTATGATTGCATCATAAATTTATAAAAATAGTAAACATGAAACATCAAATATTCAAATATCCTCCAAATAACGAGATTTTTTTTGAATCCCCAAAATTTTCTACAGAAAGAACACTTGACAATTTTTTTCCAATCCCCGAGTTATTTAATTCACCAAAAACAGAACGAAAAAAGAAAACATTGCCGTCTCTTCCCCATCAATTTTCCATTCTCTCTCATGCGTATCACAACGAGGCCACATCGTCGCAGCGCCAATCCGATTGGGCGTTAGACTCTGGTGCCCTCGTCACCATGGCAACCCACCCTCAATTCGTCCAACTCTCAAACACATACACACAAATGAGAAAACCAACTGTACTCGGGCTTGTGTATAAGGTACAAGGGGAGTGAGAAGCAAATAACTCGCGAAAACACGTAAATTAAACGCACTATGAGGGTTGATGGGGCGGAATGGAAGCGAGTGGGCCCGTGACCCTCTCTCACTCGTGAAACATAGCCATCATAAGAGGATATTAAACTCCCCGGTTTCTACGACTTTGTCGCTCCGAACCTGTAAAAAAAGTATTCAACTGTTGAATAAAAAAAATAAAAACAGTCATTTCTGATTAACAAATAGGTTCAACATGAAATGCCCAAAATGGAAGCACTATTTATGATAGATATTTGAGAGTAATCGTTTAGTGATTATTATATTGAATTATTATTATTTTTTCTCATTCATTAGGTACTTCACTGTTGGAAAGAATTGAAATTTTATCTTCATTTTATTATCTTTGATTTTATTTCAATTTTTATCTTTAGTTAGTAATATCTTTAATTTTATCAATCGAATATTGAAATAGGAATTCTCAAGAAAGTGATTTTAAATTGGTTTCAAAGAAAAACATTGAAGAAAAATACTTGAATTTTTAATCAATAGTTTGAATTTTCTTGATTTTCATTCATTTTATGCGGGAAATTTTACTATACAGGAGGATAATTTATGCATCCATGGATGTATTTTTTTTTTACGAATGAATGGTAAAACATCTTTCACAAACAGATATTTTTTGATTGTTCACACAGTTGAAGTTTTATACTACTGTGTGTTTCACGCAGTTGTATTTTTATACTACTGTGTGTTTCACGCAGTTGTATTTTTATACACCTGTGTGTTTCACGCAGT